ACTAGTTGCCTAGAAAATAGTTTATGCTAAGAACATCAAAGCTAAAAGGTATTCCTGTCTTCAAGATGTCTTGTTTTATTAAAAGACATTATTGCCTTATAATGTCTTCATTATATAAAGTCGTCTTGTTAGTAGACTAAACCAGTGTGTCAAGTGAATGAACTACTCAGGCCATGCTCTCACACATCCTGAAGTGGTCCATGAGAGTTAAGGTTGTGTCACATTCGCAAGGAGCAATGTTGAGGACACTTGTGCTGCTTGTTTTGTGGAAAAAACAAAGGATTTGAGTCTGTAGAATTGCCAACTTGATCCCTTGCATCCACAGTTAATTGTTTCAAAATAATTAGAGGGGTTGAATGCCAAACTCTCCAAAAGTACTGAAATAAGTTAAAAGGGAGCATCAAGCTGTTCTTAGAGCAGGTAGAAAACATTAGTAAATTGGTGCAGTGTATATCTTGTTTTTTCTTGACTGATTTTGACAGGGTCCTTCTTGAAAGACTGTATACTAATACAATGCAGTGGATTGTGGTGATCTTTATTTGAGGAATGTCAATATATTTGAGAGCACTTTGGGATCTATTTTAAATGGTATCCAAACTGTCTCTTGTGGAAATATAGATTTCCAAGTGAGATTTATTTCCACTATTTTTTGTTAAAGAAAATCTTCCCATTTTTTTTTCTCTTCCTGTCTCCTTTCTTCAACAGCCAGCAACCCCAACACGCACAATAGCAGCGACCCCCATTCAGCCACTTCCACAGAGCCAATCAACACCAAAGCGAATTGACACTCCCAGCTTGGAGGAACCCAGTGACCTTGAGGAGCTTGAGCAGTTTGCCAAGACTTTCAAACAAAGACGGATAAAACTTGGATTCACTCAGGTAAAATCAGAGGTGGAAAGTAACTAAGTTAGAAATACTTTGTTATACTATCAAGTACATTTTTTTGGTATTTGTACTTTACTCAAGTAATTTATTTTTGTGATACTTCAACTTTTACTCAAGTAGGTTTTTAAGAAAATATTGTACTTTTTACTCTACCACCATTTCCAGAAGCGCTTAGTTACTCACTACTTTCAGCACCCCACTGACAGTTGGACAAGCCAGCATTCTGATTTGCTATAGCACAGCTGCATGTGCAAAGCATCCAATCGTCATGTAGTGACAGTATGTTTAAAAAAAACAACCAATCAACAAGTACAATGACCCTGCCAACGAAGAAGCCTTTTAATAGCTGCATTGACACCTTTTCATTCAAAAACAGTATCTGTGCAGGGATGGGGAGCCTTGTGGGCCGGATCCAGCGTGTGGGGGAGAAGAACTGTAGCACTGCTCGCCCCACACACCCCACCGCTGGCTAGGGGAATGCAGTGCCGGAAACTGCTCGTGGGAATGTTTCCCCACTGTTACCATTGGCCAGATTTCCCATTCCCCCCCGCCTCCCCAGCTCTCCAGCCCCGATCCGCTCCTGCACCCTCCCACCCTTCCAGACACCCCAACCTCAGCCCGCTCCTGTACCTCCCTCCCAGCCACACCTCCACTCCCAGCCCTCTCCAGCAACCTACCTCCCACCCACACCCTCACCCCCATCCCTATCCCACTTCCTGGCAGTCTGCTCCCCACATTGAACCCCTCATTTTGGCCTCAACCCAGAGCCTGGGGGCCTCACAAAATCTAGTAACCCTGGGACTCCCAAAAGCGTTAATCTGACCTGTGGGAAGCCCTAAAGCTTGGTCCTCCCTGTGTCCTCTACCCTCTCTCCCTTCCCGCTGTGGGGCTGGAGCACTGTGGAGTGAGGTATCTCAGTTGGGGGCCACGTCAGTGAAGGTTGTTTTTGTGTGCGTATACATATATACACATATACACACACATGCATTCAGGTTGTACCTCCAAAAACCAGTACTCTCTGGTCTGGCGACGTCCATCATCTGGCAGGACCACAGATGCTCCTGGATCAGGGAGCCGAGGGGCTTAAGGTCAGGAGGCCGGCAGCCTGGCTCAGGCAGCACAAGACTGGGGCCAGAGCCCTGTGGCAGCCTCCAGCAGCTTGTGGCAGCATGGGGCTGTGCACGAGTTCCCCGGCAGCACAGATAGGTGCTGGGCTGGAACCCTACAGCAGCCCCAGAACCCCGTGGCAGCCCCTGGGAGCTTGGGGCTGAGTTTGGAGCCCTGTGGCAGCGTGGGACCAGAGTCATCCAGCAGCTTCCTGGAGCTGGAACCCCACAGTAGTTCCTTGAGCACAGGACTGGGGCGCTGGGGCAGCCCCCGGGAGCATGGGGCTGGAGTTGAGCCCCACAGCAGCATAGGGCCAGATCCCAACAGCAGCTCCTGGGGCCAGAGTCCCGTGGCTGCCCCAGATGCACGGGGCTGGAGCCCTGCAGCAGGAGTCAGAGCCTCTGCTGCTCAGGGGAGCCGGCAGCAGCTAGGCAAGCAGGCCAGCCAGGTTCAGTGAGGGGGAGGTGAAGCAGAGTGTCTGCTGGAGAAGCCTTGGGAGACAGTGGCAGAAGACCTCCCCTGGTCCAGCAAATTCTCTCATTTGGGACCAGTCAGGTCCCAGTGATGCTGGACCAAGGAGGTCCAACCTATGTATGTGAACAATAATGGTACCCTATGATAACCTATGTGTATAATCATAGATTTCCACAGGATGTCTACTTTTTACTTCAGGATACTTGAGTACAATTAAGATGCTACGCTTTTGTGCTTTTACTCAAGTACTTTTCCAGAAGGATACTTCAACTTTTACTTAATTACATTTTTTTTCAAAGTAGCAGTACTTTTACTCAAATAACTTTTTGGGTACTTTTTCCACCACTGGGTAAAATTGCATTACTTTAGTGCCTCCCAGTATGGGGTTAAATCAGCTTTCAGATCTGAAAGGAGGGGACGATAGCTTCCCACCCTTCACCCTCCAGTAGTGCCTTCTTAAATAGAATTAAGCTCTTGTCTTTCCCCTTCTCTATAAGGGTTCTAGGAATGAACAAAAAAGGCCATACACATCTTTCTTGCTCCCTAGTTGATTTTAAGGGTAACCATTTTCTCAGCAGGTGCATACTTTTTACCAGCTCAGGCTGTCATTGAATGTGCACTGTTCAGCCTAAAGAATTTAAAATGAATAGGTCAAAACACTTTAAAAGCTGCCCTCAGAAGTGCAACCTCTAAAGTCATATAGCACACTTAACAGTTCTAAGTGTTAAAAGATTGTGTCAAAACTGTGATGAAGCTGCTTTGTATGTTGAAGGGTTTTATCATTTGGACACATTTTCCTTTTTAATATTAGTGATTCTGTATTTGAGGGTTATGGCTTCCAAGCGTCTGCAAATGAAAACTCAAATGACAGAGGAGAAATCTTAAAAAGATAATTCAGAAACAAGTTTTGAAAAGACATGTTTATTAAGAAAATAATAAACTTGAATAAAATGTATGGCGTTTTATCTCCTCTCTGGAATAGTGTCCATATTGAATACTGTGAGGATAAGCTTATCAATCATCTTTGTTTCACCAAATTCATAAGTAAACAATTGATCAGGAAGGATCTGCTTTAGAGTTAGAGCAACGGAGTAAGTGCCCAGACTCCTGACTTCTAAAAAACGCTCCTTAAAAAACAAAACAAAAACCACTTTTGCTGTTATGTATTTAACAGTGTTTACAATAGGATAGAAGAGCAAAATGAAAGGAAAGCAACCTCTGCCTCATGGGCCTCAGCAGAGCAAAGGTTCACTTGTCTGCTTACCTAAAGCCTAATGGTGAAATCCATTTAGGTGGATGGGGTCACAGCACAAAAACTCATTAGGATGAGGCTGAAAAAAGTAATTTTGAGTATATTGCATATAGTTGAATGAAAGCTGCTGTCAATAGTGTAAAGTATGATTATATGCTCTATTATGTTGCAGAGAGAAGCTGTGCTTGGATACAGGAGTTCTGTCTTGAAAGTATCAAAATTACATGGGTTTTTTTCCATTCAAAATTCAAATCTGCTGTCCAGAGGAAGAAGTCTAGTAGTATGCTATTAAATATTAGCATGTTTTGCTAGAAGGAGCAAACTAAAATCACAAGTGGTTGCATAGAAGTCTGAACTCAAGCAGTCAATCATTATTTTTTTTTGAATTTTTGTAATTTTGATATTTTCAAGAAGGAACTCCTGGAACAAGCACAGCTTCTCTCAGCAACACAATAATAGAATGTATAATCGTACTTTGGACTACTAATAGCACCTTTCATTCAATTATATTCAATACACAGGCACTCCACACGTACAAAAGTTCACCTACAGCCTCAGAAGCAGGCAAGAGGGGCAAGTAGCAGTGAGAGGCATGAGCAAGGGCCAGAGGTCTACAGCCAGCCCCATCTCTGGCTGCCCCCCTCCCCAGGCTCAGCATGGACTCTGGCAGCCTCCATCCCCATTCTCCAGCTCCAGCTGGCCACCCCCCAGCAGCATGGGCTGCAGCTATTCTCCCCCTTCTGTCTATGGGCTCTGCACTCAACCCCCTCTCACGAGGAGGTGGCAAGCAGCATGAATGTGGGCTGGAGGAGAGAGGGTGGCCTGTAGCTAGCGGCTAGAGAGAAGCAGCAGTTTAAGCGGGGGGAGGCTGCCAGGGCTGGGGGCTGCCGGAATCCATGCTGAGCCTGCACGTGGAGCTGGGAATGGCCAGAGCCCATGTTTTGGGGGTAGAGGAGGAGGAGGCTATAGTAATGGGGTAATGGGAGCTGTGGAGGTGGTGCCTGCAGATGAGTGCAGGGCAGTACGCAGGGACACCTGAACCCTCTTCCCTTCCCCTACAATTTGCACCACCAATGAGGAGTTGCCCTGGTATATACCCTACCCCTCAACACCCTGCTCTAGCCCTGAGCCCTTCCATTGGCAAACTCCTGCTCATATCCCACACCCCATCTCTTGCCCTGAATTCCTTTCTGCACCCTAACTCCCACCCAGACCCCACCCCCACTTCCTGCTGTGAAATCCCTCCTGCATCCCAAATGCCTCATTCCTAGCCATACCTCCGAGTCCTCACCCTTAATCAGAGCCCTCGTTCCCTCCACACGCAACTCCCTGCCTCAGCCCACAGCCCTCTTCACTTTGAATCCATCACTTTTGGCCCTACCTTAGAGCATAAGAGGTGCCCAGAAGAGTTAATCTAGCTCTGCAGCTGGGGAAGGCCCAGAAGTCCCTTTCAGAATCTTCACCTACCTCCAGTATTTAATAAAAAGATATTTCTCAGTCAATTTTATTGATTTTCTGTTTTAATTACTAGTATTACAATTGTATTATTTTCTACTATCTTCATTGCAAATATACAGTATTTCAGCTACATTATAGGTTAAATGGATTTTTGTGAGCTGGCTTGCGAGTCTAACTACCATTTATAACATTCGAATAACACAATATTCGACAGTCCACTAAACTGAAAGTGTACAAGGCTGTAGTCTTTACCAGCCTCCTGTGTGGATATGAAGTCTGGACCTTGCACAGAAAACATGTGAAACTACTGGAACTCTTCCACACACACAGCCTGAGGTCATTACTACACATTCTATGACAGGACAGAGTCATGAACTTGGAAGTCCTTGTCAGAGCAGGAACCACAAGCATTGAAGCCATGATTCTGAAAGCCCAGCTGCGTTGGACAGGGCACATCATTTGAACTCTCCCAGGGCAAAAAGAATCAATGTAGGCCTTGCAAGAGGTATAAAGACTGCGTAAAGGCCAACATTGCTCATGCTGGATTAAAGCCAAAGCAGCTAGAGCAGCATGCAGAAGACCGAACAGGTTGGCATGCTCTCGTATGACACGCATATGACAACTTTGAAGAACAGCAGTGCATACGCCTGATTGATGCTCATGAGAGGACAAAAGCAACGGTAGCAGCCACACTGACAGAGCC